CTGCCCTGGAGCCACCTGAACCTAAGAAAAGACGTAAATGTGTTCTGCTCTAAGTTTCGCAGCAGTCTTCACACCAGTTTCCAAATCTAGGTTAACAGTACTGAAGAGGTTTTCTGCACAAGCACATTCCACTATAAGTTGAGATATTTTTAAATATTAGCCTTCTCACATACTTAACCTTAAAACATACTTTGTGTAAGACTGATACACTTTGTCATAATTTGATGCCATTGAAATTTTGTACACAATGTGAACACTGAATGCTGACACTTAAGAAAATTCTAAGGAACACTTGGAAGTAATGTTTTGGTTTGGCCACTTTATCTTTGCAGAGGTTTCCTTGCAAAAGAAGTGATTATGCAAAGATATTTTTATAGAGCTCCTGTTTCAAGAGTCCTATAAAATAGAGCTTTAATAAATTCCCTTAAAGTTATAAATTTGCATTGATTTACTACTTAGGTGTCTGTAGTTGCAACATACTGTAAATCCTGCTGTCATAAAATGCTTGTTTAGGGAAAGCTCCACTTAATCTTCTCAACATAGTCTTAAGGTAAATGTAAGAAACCTAAAGAAATATGGAACTTCTGGGTATGTTTTTATCGTCGGTCTGATAAAAGTGGAAAATCTATTTCACTGTTACTATGAGTTTGAGTACAACTATATCCAAGTCATTTGCTTTTTCTGACAAGCATCAAGGAGACGATGTATGTCCTCAGTGATCATCAACAGATGGTAAAGTTAAACTTTGTGGAAGTGTAACTACTCCTAATGTTTGGCCAGTGACCTATATTGTAAACTGCAGCACCATTAACAGGTTGAGATCCTGTGGAAGTTATTAAATTACTTAACTGATAATTATTGCCTTTGACTATCCATTCCTAGATTGTGGGCTTGAATTTAATTTGTAAATATAGTGAAAGTAACTCGTAACTTATTGACTGAAAATTTGTATGTCACTAATGAAAGACTGAAAGAACCTTAGCTGAAATCACATTAACCAGAATATATTTCTCTCTTATTTTTTATTCAATTTCACAAAGTTGGGACTGTATTTTTGTTTGTAATAAAGGTTCACAATAAAGCAGTATTATGATTATTAAATCCTACTTTCAATATTTCATTTTGTCATGTTATTAGATGGTTCAAACTTGAGAACCTGCCTATAGTTACACATACATACGTTTGAACTACCAAAGACATCAAAACTGATTATTCAGTCATTTTTTGTTACAAATGTTTATTATCAATAAGGAACAACAGGTCAATGCAAACATGGTTCTATCGTTGGTGAGCCAAATAACACTTCTAAAGTATTACAATAGAATTCAGATAAACCCAGGATAATCTCATTATTGAGGCATTATTGCCTCAAATAATGAGATCAGCCACTGACGCCTTCATGCAACTACAAATATGTTCTCACCCAAGTTTTAAAGTATATGAAGGAAAGGTCAGACACAACGTTCAAAAAGCCTGAGAGCAAAGCTGTATTTTTTTTTTTCAGGAATTGCAATAGCTCTTTGGTATTTAACCAACCTCAGCACAAAAATATGGTGATGTTAGAGATCCCCCATTGTGGAGTTTGTAGTCACTGTGGCTACATTACATGAAGAATGTTTCAAATGTTTTCTACAAGCCTGTTTAGATTTATGCATGTGCACTGGTGGGGGAATAAAAGACATGGTACAAAGTAACTGTAAAGCACAACAATACACTTTCATGAATACAGTATATGGTTTAATGTGTTAACATTTAAGCTCACATTATCATTTCCAGTTCTCACACTACAAAATGGAAAGTACAAAAGGCAGGTATCTTTAAGGCAAATGCATAGGTTTGGTTTAGGGCTGTAGCAATAATGTAAACAAAGTCACACTGCCAGACAAGTAAGTCAAGGTACACATGAACCCTTTCACACATGAATTATGACAACTTCAATCATCATTTTTCACAAGTATTTTTATTCATCTTTAGGCATGAAAAGATGAATAAAATACTTAAGAAAAAAATCCTGATTGAGGTTGTCATAATTCATGCATGACAGGGTGAAATAACAATAATTACAACGAAACATGTCATACAGGTATAGCAACATTAAACAGCCAGTGGGTGGCAGGGTATGGAGTGACACATCAGTGTCCAATGTAGTGGTTTATGTGCAAGTATAGAAACAACACTGACACAAATACAAGAAAACAGCCTTTGAATAGCTGCAGCGACCACTATACGTGAAAGGGTTAAATCACTCAGTCATCTCATATCTGTAACGGAATACAAACATATCGTATAGAAATCATATTTGCACATTATTTGACAGAAACCTCATATAGCCAAAAGGACAGGTTTTGTCCCCAATAACTGTGTAGACAGTCTAAAGCAAACCAATCACTCAGTGGAAGTAACTGGCTCCTGGTTCAGTAAAACTCAGGTGCTTGTGTCTGAATTAGTAGATGTTTTTATAAATGCCTGAAAATTTCAGGTGTCCCATTACATCTGGCATAAAGGTAATACAGCATTTCCATAAAGAAACAACAAGAAATCACAACGGAAAAACAACAAGAAAATACAGTGGTGGTAGTTTAATGGTCTGGGGCTGTTTAGCTGCCTCAGGACCTGGAAGGCTTTGTGTGGTAAATGGAACAATAAATTTACCAAAACATCTATTTCCCAAAACATCCTGAAACAGAATCTCCTGCCATCCATTCATGACCTCAACCTAAAGCACATTTGGGTTCTGCAGCAGGACAACGATCCAAAATACACCAGCAAGTTCACCTCAGAATGGCTTAAAACAACAACAAAATGAACACTTTGGAGGGGCCTAGTAAAAGTATTGATTTCAATCCGATTGTGGCATAACCTTAAAAAGGTGGTTCATGCTCAATCAGGAAGGGGCAAACACTTTCTCAAACCAGGGTATACAGGTAATAGCTTTTCAGATCTACATTAAGTCATGCTTCTCATTGCACCATAACGTCTCAGGATGATATACATACACATATACAAAACTTCCTATTCCAAACCTTGTGCACATATATTAATCATAGCTCCAGAAACATGAATGGATGATAAGTAAGATGTAAGAAGATAATGCGCAATTGTAGGCAAACTGTCAAAATATGATGCTAACTCTCAATATAAAACAGTCAAAAAACTGTTTTATCCATTTTGTTGGTTTAAGATGCAAAAACATCTAAATTAAAAGCAGGTTAAATAAGTTAAACATGATTAGTATAATTTCAGAGAAAGTTAGTAAGCACATGTTAAATGAATCCCACCGACTACATATGTAGTCTATGTGTCCAGTGTTGGAAATAACTCAGAGCTGCCAGTAATGTGAATTCCAAAATGTCCTTTCCACCACCTTAAATCCCTTCCTCTATGTGTAAATCGAATGTATCCCACTCCTGGTCCATATTTATGAAACACATGGGTAATCTGAAAAACAAATAATCAGTCAGACAAAAGTTGTCCTTGGGTTTTCATGCAAGCGTTTTGTTGTCATACCTGTTTCCATTCTTCACGTCCTGTGCCACAGTAAATAGTCTCGGGTGAAAAGATCTCAATAAGCGGCTTCTTTTGATCTAGCAACTCTACCTGGATATCATAACTGCCGCCACAGTCGAAACGTGAAAGAATCCTAAATCAATAACACAATCCAATGAAAAAAATCAATACTTTTTTTAATCTACACCATATTTGATACACAAACATGTATCAATAATCATTTCATCTTAGACTGAACTTTATGAGTACAAACTGTGCCTGGTGAGCCATATGTTTAATATTTAAACCTCAAAAACCTCTAATGACACAAAAACTGATAATTACATAGTACTTAGGTTGAGAAATAAATTTTTTTTGTAATTTTTTTTTTTTTACATTAGTGTTATTTTCATGTGCTTTTCATTTTTATCCAATGACATTTCCCATTTTATATGGAACATGGCCTTACTTATGAACAGTTACACTCACTGGCCACTCAGAAATGCCTCAATTTTTCATGGCATAAATTCAACAAGGGACTGGAAACATTCCTCGCGGACTGTATTCAAATGTTCTCCACAGTCAATCATTTTGCTTACATCTACTTTTCTTTAATACGATTAGTTATTAATAAGCAGTCTGTTAAAGACCCCATGTTTATTCTCACCAATCAGATATTTTGATATCTGGTTGGGCATGATCCATAACAGATGGACTGTAACCTTCCTTCTCCAAGTCAATCAGCTGTGACTTTATGCACATTCTGTGGGGGAAAAAAAATGGTTTTCATGCTACATAATGTACACACACACACACACACATTAATAAAGCAGGACACTTGGTCTCTATATGGTGTCAAGACCAGGAAATAAAAAATATAAGAACAAAGTAACCGTAAAGCACAACAATACACTTTAATTTTTGTTTTCAAATTTCACATAGTGCTATATAGTATATGGCTTTCAAGTTTCCCTCTTAAGCATGTGTTAACATTTAAGCTTACATAATTATATCCAGTTCTCACATACTACAAAATGGAAAGTAAAGGCAAGTATGTGTAAGGCAAATATGGATTAAGTCACATGCTGGCTTCCGGACAAACAAGTCAAGGTGCACAATAAATCACTGAATACTCATTCATCCTACATCAACAACAGAATGCAAATATAAATCATACTTGCATATTATTTGTTCAATGAAACTGGAGGGGTTCTTATGTCTGAAGCAGTAGCTGTTCTCACAAATACCCAAAATTTTCCAGATATAAAAAAAAAAAAAAAAAAAAAAAAAAAAATTACAGGAGAACACAAAATGTTTAATTTAATCAAATTATACAAATGCATCTTACAAATCATTACACAAAGTAAAATTTTCCAAACATTTTTTGTTTTAATGTTGATAAATATTGGCTCATGAAAAGTTGAGAGGAACCAAACCTGAAAAGTAGAGAGGAAGTGGAAGAGAATGGATGGATGGATGGATGGATGGATGGATGGGCTCATGAAAATCTGAAATCCAGCTACAAGGTAGTGATCATTTTATTTTGAATTTGGGTAAACTTTTAGATGTATTTGTACATGAAATAGTACTTAGCCTGTCAAATTAAACAATACTCAGTAATCTTCAGTATTGACATCACAATGACAATCACAGAAAGCAAGTTTAAGGTGTTATTTAAGGTGTTCTGTGTGAAACATTAAAGAAAATAGCTTTTCACTGGAAAACTTGTGCACATACAGAGATTATAGCTCTGGAAACATGAATAGATGGTCAGTGAGATGTAAGAAGATAATGTGCAATTGCAGGCAAATGCAGGATGGGAGAACTGGACAAATTCCAACAAGCTATGTGTTCACTGCTGGACATATTTCAACGCTGCTGTCTGTGACACGTATTCCATACCATCCAGCCCAGAACTGTGTGTCCTTGCCACCATGCCTAAAATGAATGTATCTCACTCCTGGTCCATAGTCCCGGAATACATGGATCATCTGAAAAATAAATATCAGTAAACCAAATATGCTGGTGGGTTCTGCACTGTTACTAAACTTTATTAAATTTCACTTTGTACATACCCGATTCCACTCCTGATCATTCCACTGATCAAAGAAAACAGTATCAGGAGCATAGGACTGGATAACCTTCTGCTTTGCATCCAGCAACTGCACAAGGATTGAATATTCACATCCACAATCCCATCGTGGTGCATACCTGTAACGAGGATGTATTTGTGCAAAGATTAGGGATCACCAATCATATCAAGCTACGTTTTTCTCTCTTATTATTCAAGCCTTAAAAGGGATATATTCCTTTTTGTTATCAGTAAGTTTTGTTTAGTTCCACGGTTTCAAAAACTAAAAAACTTTTTATTTTGGGCATGACCTCACGGTTTTTGTTAAGTGCAAATTTTTTGCACAAAGTAGGGTTTTCAAACTTTATCTCAACACCATTTTCTATATCAACAGGAAAATTCTGACCCCATGCCACAACAACAGAACTATTTGCAAAGAAGTCATGTCCCAAAAAATGTAATTTAGCAAAGCAAGTTTAGAGATATTATTTGTTTTACAAACGATTTAGATAATTTCATTACAGATTGAGAAATATTTAAGAATGTATTAATAAACCAAAGGCCACAACAAACATGACAATACTTAACATCTAAATAATTTAATTATTGTATAGAAAACCTATATTGAAAATTTAAAAATGAACTTTTCTACTATTGCAAAAGTAGAAGTGTTTATCATCTTGTCCACATCTGCCTGCAGTCTCTCTCTCATTCAATGTTCACACAGCTCCGCTTCTGTCTGCAGTTCTTCACATCCTCAGTGCTGCTCTTCAAGCCCAAACTTGTATGATTCGGCTGCACTGCTCCAGGTTTCACTCTTTTTGCTCAGATTAGTTCTCCACACTCTGTGATCAGTTCAACTACAGTTTCCCCGCTCCTCTGCACAGACAGCAACCTGCCCGGTTCTCCATGTGTCCGTAATCTGCACTGTCACATCTCAATTTTCCATCCGCGACACATTCAGCCTGCAGTCATTTTTCATCTTTAATCTAACTACAGTCCGCTAGCAGCTAGGTTAATAATAACAGATGGCAAATATAGCTATCAGTTAATTGCTAATAGAGAAATGGTTAGTGTTAACGTATGCATTTATAATAACGGGAGCTTTACTAACCTCTCGAAATTCTTGAAAAGTTTTGTTCAGTGTTATGAGGATTTACTATTTCATCTATCAGCGAGAGGAGGAGCTATGTGCCTGACTGTCTGCATTGGTCCTGTTTAAAGTTGTGTGTCAGCTAGAGAAGGCCCAGATGGCTCTGTTGGTATCAATGCTGTTGCAAATGAATATTTTTTGTATTGATTAATATCAAAGTATGATTTTAACAACCCTAATGTACATTTTAAATGCTTTTAAAAAGTGTAATTAAATGCTTTTTGCAGCTAACTAAGAAACTAACTAACAAACTGTTAGTATGTCATGTGTATTCATCTCACCAATCAGATATTTTGATGTGTGGTTGGAGGTTATCCATAAAGGCTGTGCTGTAGCCTTCCTTCTCCAAATCAATTAGCTGCTCCTTTGTGCACATTCTGCAAAAACAGACATGATTTTAAAACAGTTTAACATTTAATACTAGTACAGTGGTCCCTCGCTATATCGCAGTTCACTTTTCGCAGCCTCGCTGTTTCGCAGAGTTTTTTTGGTGCAATTTTACATGTTTTTTTTTCTTTTTATCCTTCTTCTTTTCTTTTCTTTTACTGGCTGTAGACCATTTTCAATCAATCAATCTCGTGGCGTGTCTCCTATACAGTACAGAATGCGTTCAGCTTGTCAAATTTACATAAATCTTTGCTAGCAGAAGACAACAAACACAAAACACAACAGTGTCGACGTCAAAGGATTATAAAACGCATTAATTGAAACCAAACAGTCAGATAAGTCAAACTTTACTCAACTCATTCTTCTTGCTTCCTCTACTTCCGTACCATTGATTCATTAATGTTGCATTCTCTCGCAGCTGCTCTATTCTCATGTTCTGGCCCTGAAAACAGGGTTTTGGTTTTATTCTACAATACTGGACTTATTTTTCTATGAAGGTTTGAACTTTGAGAGTGTTTAAACGAGAGAGAAACATGTGAAAATGTTGATGCCTGTCTGAGAAAAGTGTATAAAGTGTGTAGTGAGGTGTTTTACAGCCTTAAAACATCTATAACAATTGTAAAATATACAGTTCACTACTTTGTAGATTTCACCCATCGCAGATTATCTTTAGAGCGTATAAACTGCGATAAACGAGGGAACACTGTACATCATTTGAACTAAGCATATAAAAATAATGGTCATTTATTTTTTGGAGGACCACTGGTAAATACTCACCCATAAGAGGTCACAAAGTTTTTCTTGACTACTTCATTTGGATGTGGCACCATAACGTCCTCTAGGTTCCACCCATCACCACCATTCTTTATTGTCCAACCTTCCATGTTTTCTAGGAAAGAAAGAAACACAGAAAAAGTTTGCATCTTATTTTAACCCTTGGGCGTTCCTCGTCAAAAAAGTTACCCTTTTGGGTAACTTTGGATTTTTGATTTTCAATATATCAGTCATTTTAAACAAAAAATGTTTTTCAAATCAGTTGTTGAGCTTCAAGGATTCTGACCTTCTCCTCTTGTATTCTTGAGGAGATTTCTTCTTTTCTTGCATAAGAAGTAAAATAACCTCCAGTCTTCAGGTATTTTGGAAGAATCACAGAGGTTGTATCCTTCTCTTCTACATCTTACTCTCCATAAAGATTCACTGTCAGCCACTTCTTTCCACTGTGAGCACACCAACCGACAAACATGAACCACCTGGTCGGCCGGAACACGTAGGAAGATTTCCTCCAGGATCTCCAGAGGAACAGGGAAGAACTAAACAAAAACAAAAAAAAGCATTGATAAGGTGGAGCTTTGAAAAATTAGTTTAGTTTTCCATCACTGCACCTGGATCAATAGTCCCAGCTGTTTACATAATCTCACCATTTGAACTACATCAGCATTTTACAATATTATTGATTTCCACAGACAACACAAAAAAAAGAAAAAGAACAAAACAAAAGCTTTTTAAAAAATTAACTTTTCAAGCACTTCATTCATGAACTTTCATTCACAGGGTGGCTATAAAGCACATTTGGATTCCTTCTAAATGAGGTTCCTTTGTATTGCACTGAAATAGTAACTATTTAAACTGTTTTAATCACAAAACCTAGAAACCAAAGATGTGTATGTCTTGCAGACAAAACCCTGCCTCTGAATGTATTTTTCTTTCTACATAAGGATTGTTGCTAGACTGGAATTATAAAAAAAAAAAA